CATACCAGAACCTTCCAAAATGTATAAAACATTGACCATTTTATGACAGATTCAGTTTTCAGGAATTTGGAGGGACCCCACTGGAATGGTTTATCTCTGCTCTGTGAGCTCTGCGGCCCAACCTGAGAAGTAGTAGATGACTTGAACAGCTGGGGTCTGGAATGGTCTGGAGAGTTCTTCACTCATACATCTGATACCTAGGACAACTTAAAAGCTGGGCTTTGTAGGACCAATCAGCTGGAGTACCTACTGTGGCTTGGGCTTCTAACAGCATGGCAGCTGGCTTCCAAGGGGGAGTGTCTTCGAGAGGGAAGAACCTGGAAAGTGAGTATTTCAAGAGATGGAGGCAAAAGCTACAAAGCTGCTTCTGACTCAGTCTCAAGTGCCATGCTGGCATCACTTCTGCCACGTTGTACCAGTTACAAATGAGTCACTAGAGCCATCTCAGATCCCAGGGAAGGGAAGGAGACTCCATATTTTGGTGGGGAAGTGCAAGGTCACATTGCTAAAGAGTGTGTGAGGTGGGACAGATTGTGGTCCCCTACAGCAAAGGCAGTTGTCCATCGACAGTCTGTCTTCCCCACTGGGCTCAAAGCTCAGAGATACAAAACCTGGGATAGCCACCACCACCTTGGAACCACAGAGGGGACGCGAGTGATAAAGCCAGCTTGGAGGAGAGCCAAGGGATGCAGGAGAGCAAATGGGGTGTGTGTGTGTGTGTGTGTGTGTGTGTGTGTGTGTGTGTGGTGTGAGAGAGAGAGAGAGAGAGAGAGAGATCAGGGCCAGAGGGCATCGTTTGAAGCCAGCCCCACCCCCGACTCCTCAGTCCCAGGAACCAATAACCCCCTTTTGCTTAAGCCAGTTTGAACCTAGTCTTCCATCCTATAGAAGAAATAGTCCTAATCAATACAAGGAGATTTACAAGATTTTTACTCCCTTTTTTATACTCTTCCATATTGCTTGAATTTTTTTACACTGGGTTTGTCATATTTTCAGCATTTAGAAAATTTTAAATTAAGCGGCCATCTGTGAGTCACCAAGGGCAATAACCATGACTTTCACAACCTCCCATTTCGGTCCATCTAACATTGTTGGCCAGCACTTTTCTTTTGTTGTTAGCGTGCAGCACCCACACTGCCATCTTGCTGCTCCTCACCAGTTCCTAAGTTTGCTTTAAGCTTCAAGCCTCTCCCAGCTATTCTGCTCAACACACAGCCAGCTGGTGGGAAGGGCTCTGGCACAGCGTGGCTCCTGGCATCCAGGAGCCCTCAGCCTGGGCACATGGCAGAGGTGGGCAGAGCCACTCTGATCGAGGGCTGTAAGTGCTAGAATGTGCTGTGGGAAGATGGAGAAAAGGAGAGAAAAATTCTTACGAAAAGGGAGAGGAGGGAGGCATTCTTGGCAGAGGGACCAGCTTGAGCAAAGGCCTGGCAGTGAGGCCGCATGGGATGGGTGGCTACCATGGTACAAAGCGAGGGACTCAAAACAGGGAGCGTGATAGGGGTCCTTGAGGGAGATCATAGGTTAGAGCCTAAGCGGGGGAGGGCCTTGAATGCCAGGATAAGGAGTTGGGCTTTATTCTGAAGATAATGGGGAGCCGCTGGACGGCTTTAAATGGAGAAGTGGCGTGATCAGATTTTGAGATGGGAGGGAGCTCTGAATATGGTGTCAGTAATGGGTGGAAGAGGCCAGAGACCAGATGAGCAGCTACCATGACAGTCCAAGCGATGCGTAGGAAGGGCCCAAGCGGCCTCACGTCCTCGCAGCTGCTCTGTGTGAGCCCCACCTGAGAGCAGGCAGTCTTGCTGCCTGTGCCGAGGGCCTGTGCCCGGGAAGAGAAGCCATCCTGGTGTCCCCAGAGCCGCGCTCCGACCTTGGTCAGGGGCCATGTCCCACCAGAGCCCCATTTGTCCAGTTTCCCAACCATACCCAGGTGCTGGCCCTAGTTAGGGTGTGTGGGACATGGCGGGTGTCTACATCGACCCTCACTCAGTCTTCCTGACTGAAGAATACCCAGGTTTGAAGCGTCCTCAAATAATAACAGCTAAAAATAATATTAAAGATAAGAACAACCATCAAGTACAGTAAGACCGTGTAAATCCTTGGCATGGATTACACCATTTGATACTCTCAGCAATCCCGTGAGGCAAATTCCATTGCTGTGTCTACTTCACAGATGAGAAAACTGAGTCTCTGAATCATTAATATAACAGCTGCTTACGCTGAGGCTCTCACACCTATTTGGCTTCCAGTGGGGCATTACCTGAAGATTCTACTTCTAGCACCTATGAAGTCCTTGATCACAGCTGGGATGCAGTGGCCCACTTTTTAATGGGGCTTATCATTCCAGGCCCAACAAGGGTGTCCCGGCCTCTAGGCAGCCCCCAACTGCCCCCAACCTGGGCAGGTTTCCTCTTTACCACTCCAGGATCCATCTTGTAATGCTTGCTTGTCTGTACTAGGGGGACAGCTTCCCAGAGAGGAGCAGCAGCTCTCACTCACCCTGTGGTCCCAGCCCCAGTAATAAATGGTCAGATATTGAAGTGAAGAGTAGGAGACCCCCTACTTCCCCGTCTGCTGTGGGCCTTCTGGCTCTCCCAAGGGATGAGGGATGGGCTGCTTCTCAGACTCCCCTGAAACCTACCCCACCCCTGTATAGAGGACTAAGGTCGTCTTTCCCAACTTGCATATCCCCCATCGTTGCTACCACCTCCCCACCTCCTGCCTTCTCTTATCCAAATAAGCTTTCAAGTTCAAAGGCTGCTGGTAATCTCTAAATGAAGAGGTATTGGCTCAGACTCATGGACCAGGGTGCCCAACACAAGCCCAACCTGGAAAAAATGAGGAGAAAAGGGGAAAGGGACCAGATGGTCAGGGAGCTGGAGGCAGATGAAGAATCGAGGAAGCAAAGTGCCCTCTTTGGAGCCCCTTCGAGCAGACAATGCTCCGAGCTGGGGAGAAATGCACACAGCCCTCAGCAGACAAAATGGGGCAGCTGCGGTGTGTGGCAGCAATAGCTGATCTAATCACTGGTCTCACTCTCTGGGAAGCTTTTTGCTGCATTTTAGCACAGAAAAGTGGTGCCTTTCTCCCTTTTGTGGCTGAAGCTGCTATTTAAGAAAGAAAAAAAAATCAATATGCCTTCTCTGGCTTTCAGTCTTTTTCCCCCAAAAGGTGTTTCTTTGGGGAAGAGGAAGAGGTTGAGGGGGGTGGGTCAAGAAACGTTTTTGTCATTCATAAGCCGTGGTGACAAATCCTTGACATCACTCGCGGTTCCTATCGATCAGCTCCATCCGAGGCACCAGAGGACAAATAGAAATCATTTGTCTGTCTTGGCTCCCAAACAGCCTGAGACAAAGGGCTCCACCGGCAATCAGCAGCTGGAGGTATTAGCAGCAGGTCAAGTTCGGAGGTCAGAGGTCAAACAGGTTGTCATCAGTTTCTCACAGCTATCAGAGCAAGGGTAGGGGAGGGGCTGAGTAAAACCCACTAACAACACAGCTGGTTCTTATTAGCCAAATCCTGCCTCTCTTTGAAGAGAGGTAGGCCAGCCAGGTCCACACCCACCCCAGGGACACCCTGGTGTGCTGGGTTTCATGTGATGGCAGCAGAGCTGGGGGTGGTGCGGGGCCGAGGAAGAACAGAAGCAAGACCTGAGCTCTGCCCCTCACTATCCACCCTTCGCTCTTCCAGGGGAAACCCTGAGCTCTCCTGTCCTGGGCTAGAAAGAGAGCCTGAGTGAGACCTTGGGTTTCTTCGGGGGTCTGAGCAAGCAAGTTAATCCTGTAAAATTGGAAGTGGCTTAGATGGTCTGGGAAACAGGGGTTGCAGCCAGGGGACAGTGGAGTCATTTTAAGTCCCTGATTACACACCACCTGTTTCGGTTTCTCCTCCCACCCTTGGGAGGAGGAAACCCAACTCTTAGGTCAATTAATCTCTTGGAGAAAGATATGAAAAGATGAGGGTGGCAAATCCAGTCCTGGGGAGGGACACACATAGGAGGTGACTTGGGAATGCAGGAGAAGCATGACAAATAGGATGGCAGCTAACTTCTCACTGAACACTTAGCTCCAAGGCTCTGGGCCTGCTGCCGGGTGATCTTACTTTAGTGCCAACAGAGCCCTGTGAGGGCTGTTGGTTCCACTTTACAGAATAGGGGGTGGAGGGCACTGAGAGATTGGATCACCAGGATCACTGAAGCCGCGAGGGACCCCAGCACGTACCTGAGAAGTGGTCTCCATGTAACAAAGAAAGGGGCACCTTTATGGGGTCCATTCCTCAGTGAAAGAATGCGAGGCCACCTGATGGGAACCTGGTGAGAGTTCTGGGTCCCTAGTCTTACCGGCTGCTCCCTTGGCATGCCCCCAGACACCCCAAGACAGTATTGTCTTATGAGGATGAAAGGACCCGGAGCTGAATCTGGCAGCTCCAAGGAGGACCCTTACTCAGGGAGAGAGACAGGCGGCTCAGCAGTGTAGGCCTGGCCAGCGTGAGCCCTCAGCAGCCCGGGCTGGCCTGCGGGACTGACCACACTCACCAGGTGGTAAATCCAGCTCTCAGAGCCTTCCAATCAGGTAACAAGAATGAAGCTTTCTCTTTGGTACCACAGAGTCACAGAGAAGCAGGAATGGGTAGGTTTACTGCATATCAGAAGGCCTGCGGGGGGCTGTCACTGAGAGGTCTCTGCTGGAACGGGGGCCCCGCTTGGGTCCCAGTGGCTCCAGGAGACACAGGGACGCACTCTAATTGAGGTGATTAGGGAATTCTCTGGTGCACCTGTTATTGGATCCCACTCTCTAAGGAACCTTTAATTGGGGCGGTGAACACACCATACAATATACAGATGATGCATTATAGAATGGTATACCTGAAAGTTATATAATTTTACTAACCAATGTTACCCCAATAAATTTTTTTAAAAAGTTTTTTAAAAAGTCTGGCACAGAAGGAAAAAAACCCCAAAAATAAATAAATAAGGGATCTTTAAGATATGGGAGAGAATCGCTTCTCAGCCTTTTGGCTATGATCAAGTGTAGTTATCTGTTTTCACCAGGTTAATATCTGATACGTCCTCTATCTGAGGACAATATATTAAATGGAATTTTGGAATAAGGAGATGGAATAGGGGCTTGTTCCATTCACTCCACGCATCGACCTGGTACTGCAGTACTTCCAGGAACAGGACACCAAAAAAAGAAAGAAAAGAAAAGAAAAGAAAAGGAAAGAAAGAAAGAAAGAAAGAAAGAGAGAGAAAGAGAGAGAGAGAAAGAGAGAAAGAGAGAAAGAAAGAGAAAGAGAAAGAGAGAAAGAGAGAAAGAAAGAAAGAAAGAAAGAAAGAAAGAAAGAAAGAAAGAAAGAAAGAAAGAAGGAAGGAAGGAAAGAAAGAAAGAAAGAAAGAAAGAAAGAAAGAAAGAAAGAAAGAAAGAAAGAAAGAAAGAAAGAAAGAAAGAAAGAAAGAAAGAAAGAAAGAAAGAAAGAAAGAAAGAAAAGAAAGGAAGAAAGAAAGGCAATAGGGGCAGTGCAGGGGCAGCGGGGTTGGGTAGATTGCTATGCCTGAAAAAAACCTCAACGATCCCTCGGGTAAAAGTCCTTCCGAAGCAGGAGAGCCCTTATGGTACAATAACTAAGGGCTGTGGCTATAAAAGGGTAGCACGAGGGGTCTGCAAATTTGTATGTGGGATAAACTGCATAGAACTAAATACACACGCATGTGTGCGCGAAGCTGGTGAAATATGGGAAGGGTCAACGGATTGTACCCGTGTCAGTTTCCTGGCTGTGTTATTGTGCTGTCATCATGCGAGATCTTAGCATCGAGGGAAACTGGATAAAGGGTATATGAGATCTTTCTGTGCTATTTCTTACAATTGCATGTAAGTCTATAATTATCTCAAGAAGAAGAAAGGTATAAAAAGGGAGAAAATAAGGAACCCTCTGTTCCCTCGACAGAGTTCTTTTCTCTGCTGCTTGGCATAGAAACAGAGAAAAGCATGGGCAGGAAAGGAACAAGCCCTTGGACCATGAGCACTCTCAATGTAAAATGAAAGACACATTTTTCATTTGCACCAATAACTTTATTGATTTGGATATTTTGAGTATGTCGGCCATCTCCTGCTATTGGCTTCTAGTGGGTAGAGGCCAAGGGTGCTGCTAAACATCTTCCAATGCATAAGACAGCCCTGCAGCGAAGAATTATTTGGCCAAAATGTCAATAGTACCAAGAAATTTCACAAACCACTTTTGACTCATTCCATCAGTCACAGCACCTTCTCCATATACTGCACAAATCCTTTTTTGTGTGTGTTTCAGTTGTGTTTCTACCTTTCTTGAAACAATAAAGCATAATATGCCAAAAATATTGTGGATTTTTTCATCCTCAATATTAAAATGGCTGCACAAAAATTCACCAATTTTGATAGTTCTTTTTAAATGCACACTGATATGACAGCTGTCACAATACAATCTAACAAAATTGCTTTGAATGAAATTGAAGACAACTAAGCACTACTAGAGCCATCATACAGAAAAAACTAAACAAACTTTTTGGCCAACACAATAGAAGACAGATAAGAATGACCCACATTATATTTAACCACGCACTGTTGTCCCATTTTTTGGAGGGGAACACTGAGACCCAGGATGGAGCATTCATTGGCCTGAGGTGATAGTGACTGGGCTGGCATCTCAGTCCCGGTGCACCAACCCCAAAACCTGAACTCCGTCCACCACACCACCGAGTTGTTTCTCTTTCCAGAGCCCTGACAAGTATGCTCACCCCAGGAACGTGTTGCTCCCATCAAGTACTCATTACGTACTTTGTCGCCCAGAGTGTGGAGTTTTTAGAAAAGAGAATAAAACAAGGCCCCTGTCCTCAAAAATCTGAGTCAGTGTTGTGCAAAAATCTGAGTCATACGTACTTTGTCACCCAGAGTGTGGAGTTTTTAGAAAAGAGAATAAAACAAGGCCCCTGTCCTCAAAAAATCTGAGACCGACACACCCAGAGAGGAGCTGGACTTTCATAAGAATGACCCAGGGCCAGAGAAGGGAGATCAGTGGGGAGTGGACAGCTAGGGAGGGCCTCTTGGAAAGGGGGTCTATGGCTTTTCCCAGTATTTTTATTCAGGTAAAATGTACATAATGTGACACGTCCTATCTTCACGATTTTTAGATGTGTATGTAGTACAGTGGTATTTAGTACGTTCACATTGTTGTGTAGCTGTCAACCACTGGTCTTCTCCAGAACACTTCTCATCTTGCAAAACTGAACTCTGCACCTACTGAACAATAACTGCTCACTCTCCCCTTCTCCCAGCCCCTGGCAACCACCATTCTACTTTGTGTCTTCATGGTTTTAACTACTTCAAGTTCTTCATATAAGTGAAATTATACATGCTTTCTCTTTCTGTGACTGGCTTATTTCACATAACAATGTTCTCAAGGTTCATTCATGTTAGACCATGTGCCAGAATTCCCTCCCTTTTTAAGGCTGAATAATATTCCACTGTATGGACATACCACATTTTGCTTATCCCTTCACCTGTTGATGGATGCTGGGGTTGCCTCCATGTTTTAGCTATTAGAACAGTGTTGCTATGAGTTTGCATGTACAAATATGCCTTTGAGCCCCTGCTTTCAGTGCATTTGAGTATATATCCAGAAGTAGACCTGCTGGATCTTATGATGATTCTACTTTTAATTTTTTGAGGGAAGATAACAGCTATATTTAAAGATTATAAGTTTTGGTTTTAGATTTTAGGGTTTTTTTTCTTTTTCTTTGTTGTTGATTTTTAAATAAGCAATACATAGACATACTGTTCATATTTCAAAAGGTCCAGAAAGGCATACAGTGAAGTCTCCCTCCCACCCTATACTCTGGAGGTAATCGATGTTACCAGCTTCTTATTCCTCAAGAGTGATTTCAGGCATGTCCCTTCCTGGTGCCTTTTCTTTCCTCTGTTCTCCACCTACCAAAGCCATTCTAATACATACATGTGTGTCTATTAACTGATATATCTATATAAAATTTTATATATAGCCATATGTATTTATATTAAACTAAATATAAGCTCATCCTGATGTCTCCAGCTCTAATCCATTACCACATGGATCACTCTGGCCTTAATGCCAACCTTACCTGTAACCTTCCACACCACACCACACCAGCAAGAAAACTTGGCTTCTATCTATTTACTTAAATGTTCAATTCCTTTATACGTGTACAGTGGTTCAGAATTGTTAACCCTTTCACCATCATTAATTCTAAGTATTTAATTAATATTCATTGATTTATTCTTTAACCATGAATTATTTAGAAGTTTCATTTTTAATTTTAAAATATAGGTTTTGTTTGCTTTCTTTCTGTGGTTGATTTCTGATTTCCTTACATTGTGGTCTGAAAATGTGTTCTGTATGTTGACTCTCTGGTGTGTTTTGAGACTTCCTCTGTGATTTAATATATGCTCGATTTTGGTAACAGTAATATGTGATTGCAAAAAAAAGTATAAATGTTGGTACATCTACTCTATGCCATTAAAAAGTCACTATGAAAATGTAGAAAGTATACAAATATTTGAGATAATGAGAAATGAAAAAAAGAACACTAAACACATGCAGTGTTGGCAGCAATGTAAACTATTCGGGCATAAAAACAAAGACTGGGAAAGAATAAGCAAAAACAAAAATAAGTATTGATGTATCATGGTGGGATTCTAGGTCTTTTTTTTTCTCTTTTTGAAATTGTATTTAATATTGTTTTATTGTTTCTATAATTTGTAAAACTCTAAAAAAGTATCCTAGAAAACATTGGCTTGATAAATTAACGAGGGAACACAAGTATCTAATTCTACTGACATTTTTTGAGCCCCTGCTATGTGTTGGGCACTGAGCTAGATCCCAGGGATTCGGGGATGGTAAGTCAAGGTCACTCTCTTCAGAGACTCTTAGAGCAAGAGGCTCAGACCAGGCACAAGGAATTCCTACACAAGGCAGAGAGTGAGTGGTCCTGAAGACTCCATACAGGATGCAGCTGGAAGACAGGATTGGGAGAAATTAATTTAGATTCAGCAGGGAGGAGGGCGTATGCAATGTCCTTGGGGGAGGAGCAGGAGCCACAGAGGATTTCAAGGACTCCTGTGTGGACACAGGGAGGGACTATAGGCACAGGGGAGACCTTGAATAATAGAAAAATTGTTGTGTGTATAAGACTTCATAACTTACAGAATCTCCCAACACACACACACCCATGCACATACACACAATCTCATTGCTATTTACCTATCTCTATGCTATTTACCTTGTGAGGTAGATATTACTATTTTTATATCTTTTTTTTTTTTTTTTTTTGCAGAGTTGGAGACTGAGGTTCAGAGAGTAGAAGCAACTTGTTCAAGGTTATACACCTAATAAGTGAAAGAACCAGGACTCAGATACTAGTTTCCTAGCTCCAGGTTGAGGTTCCTTCAGGTAAACCCCTCTTAGGAAATAACTCCTTTGCATTGTACGTAAAAGAGCTGTAAAAATGGCTCAGCAAGGCGGTCCCACTCAGCCAATGTCCTCTCAAGGAGGAGCCACTGTGAAAACAGAAACTGAGGACCAGCTGCCCTTTCTGGTCCAACTGAAAAAAAAAAATACAGTGCATACATTTTGGTATATCAATGCCATTAAAACAATTATTTAAAAAATCATAAGACCTGAAAGATGAAAAAGTGGCCCAGGAGAGGAACATTCCAAGCTGAGGGAGGAGAACGTGTGAGGGCCTTGGGATAGAGAGGAGCTGGAAGCGCTGGCAGTGTGGAAAGTCTGAAGTGGGTAGTATGGCCGGGAGCAGGCAGGCCGCGGGAGGGGTGGCGGAGGAAGGGACCAATTTATCAATGAATAAAATAGAAATGAATATAAGTGACTAATAACTAAATTGCATTACAAGAGCCAATTATTCCTTCAGGCTCCCCCCCCCCCCCAAACACACACACACCACTACCCCCCTTAAAGCATGGTACCATCCTTGACTTCATCTGGAACCATCTGTCCTGGCCTCAGACCTAGGTTCCTCAGGTGGCGTGATAAGATCAAGGTTCAAGGTTCAGAGTTCAGGGGAGATCACGGCTGGAAGGCCGGCCTCATCACAGGTATGCGCGACTGCCCGCGCAGCTTCTGGCTTCTGTCCTTGGGGCTCCTCAAGGGGAGGTCGAGTGGGGTT